TTAAAAAAAATGAATTATATGTGGGGAACGGAAAAAATATGTTTCTTTTTTTTTTTTTCATAAAAGATCATATGATAATTTGTATTAAAAAACATAAATTGAAAAAAAATATCAAAAGACCGTAACCTCAAGTCTCCTTTCTTGGTGATTCATTTTTTTTTTAAATAAGTATGTACTTTTAATTTCTTTTCTATAAAATTCTTTCTTAAAGTTAAAATACATTATTTAAAAAAAAAAAAATACTAGGTCCAACTCAATATTTAAACAAATAATAATAATAATAATAAAACACGCAAACATCTTTACTGGTATATTTTCATAATTTTCAATATTTTACAACATAAATTTTATCTAAAACTATGAACACTAAATAAAGACACTTATAATTTTTTTCTCTTCCTCCGTCTTCTCCATCGGTGCTGGCGGCGGCAGAAGAGGCGGCTTCTTCTTTTTCGTCTTCCTCTTCTTTGGCCGCGGCAGCAGCAATCGTGGCAGTGGCGGCAATTGCTGGAAAAGATTTTAAATTTATTTTATTTTTTATAAAAAATTAATAATCTTTTCGGAAATTTTGAATCCAAAAAAATTGGTATCAAAAATTCCAAGACAACCATCAATATTCACAGGAGCTTTCAGCTTCCGATTTAGTTTTCGATTTTTAAATAGTCTCGAAATTTTCAAAACTATTTGAAATATCTTCGAAATATTTTTGACTCTTCAAAAGGGTGACGAGTTTTACATATCAGCACCAACCCAAGAAAAAATCCGAGGCTTTAGAAAAATAGTCTCAGCCGAAGTTATTTTCTTTTTTTGATAGTGTTATAAATTATTCATCTACATAATAATAGTAAAGATAACTAATATATATTTCTTTCATCTCACATATATTGTTTCAAATGATTTTTTAAATAAAACAAGAAAAATAATACTTCTTTCATCGTAAAAATAAATAAATAAAAATTGAGAAAATAATAAATAGACTCATTTATATTTGGCACAAATTTTAATATAATTTATACTTTTGTCCTTTATAATAAAAAATTTAAAAAATAAAAATAAAATAAAAAAGGGTGTGATTTTTTGCTAAAATGTTTATTATTTATGACAGATAAAATAGGTTTAAAGTGTATAGCGTGAGTTAATTATTTTGATAACTAGAGATAAAAATAAGAATAAATTGATAATTGAGGAATATCAAATAAACTATAAATGAAAAGATACTGTCTAAATTAGATAATCGTAAATGGTAAGTAAGATAATACAGGTGAGATCGAAGGATATTGTGGACAAAAAATTGTATTATTTTTAATAAACATAAAATTTGTACAAATTATATTTAATTTAGATTTAAAGCGGGTCCTATTCTCTAAATGGATCCTTTGATTTTCCTTCCGGGTCGATTTGTTTTCCAACTTGGTTTTCGATGGCTTCTCTAATTCGAAGAGATTTGGTCTTCGGTTTAACTTTGCCGGACTTTGGTCTCCGTGCGGGCAATTTGATCGTCGGCTTTGGATTTGATGTCCTCTTTGGACGATTCGAGGCTTTGATCTTTGATTTGGCTTTGCCGCCTTTTGAAAAGCTTTGGTCTCCGTATTGGCGATTTGATCATCAGCTTTGGATTTTATGTTTTCTTTGGATGATCCGCAGCTTTAATTTTTGGTTTGCCTTTTCCGCCTTTTGGAAAGCTTCGGTCTCCGTGTGGACGATTTGATCGTTGGCTTTGGATTCGATGTCTTCTTTGGACGATCTTCAGCTTTGATCTTTGGTTTGCCTTTTCCGCCTTTTGGAGAGCTTCGGTCTCCGTGTGAGCGATTTGATCATTGGCTTTAGATTTGATGTCTTCTTTGGACGATCTGCTGTTTTGATTTTTGGTTTGTCTTTTCCGCCTTTTGGAGAGCTTCAGTCTCCGTGTGGGCGATTTGATCGTCGGCTTTGAATTTGATGTCTTCTTTGGACGATCCGCAACTTTGATCTTTGGTTTGCTTTTTTCGTCTTTTGAAAAGCTTCGGTCTCCGTGTGGGCGATTCGATCATCGGCTTTGGATTTGATGTCTTCTTTGGACGATCCGCGGCTTTGATCTTTGGTTTGTCTTTTCCGCCTTTTGGAGAGCTTCGGTCCCCGTGTGGGCGATTCGATCGTCGGCTTTGGATGCGATGTCTTCTTTGGACGATCCGCAACTTTGACCTTTGAGCAGGTGGATTTGGTGCTCCATAACACTTTTAGCGGCGTGTCCCTTTGACTTTTGGATCGAAGAGGACCTGGTTGATGCTTTGGTGAAGAACGCGATGAACACCTTGAAGCTTTTGGATAAACTTTGGATGCTCTTCTTTGGCTTTGATGGATTCTTCAACGGCTTTTGAAACTTTGATTCTTGAAGAGGTGGATTTGGTGCTCTATAACACTTTTGGCGGCGTGTCCCTTTGACTTTTTTATCGAAGAGGGCCTGGTTGATGCTTTATTGAAGAACGCGATGAACACCTTGAAGTTTTGGGATAAACTTTGGATGTTCTTCCTTGGCTTTGATGGATTCTTCAACGGCTTTTGGAGCTTTGGTCCTTGAAGAGGTGGATTTGGTACTCCATAACACATTTGGCGGCGTTTCCCTTTGACTTTTGGATCGAAGAAGGCCTGGTTGATGTTTTGTTAAAAAATGCGATGAACATCTTGAAGCTTTGAGATGAACTTTAGAGATCTTCCTTTGGCTTTGACGAATTCCTCGACGGCTTTGGGAGCTTTGATCCTTCCTCTGGCTTTGGCATACGACGAAGAACGTTAACTTCATCGATTTGTCAACCAATATTTGATCATTTGTCCAAATCAGTGACTTTTGACGAAGAACGCTTCGAAGGACACGAAAAACATGAAGAACAATACAGAGAGAGTCTAGAAACTGCTTGAATCTTCGATGTAACTTCGGTGTCTCAAATGAACTGGTCATGGCTCCTATTTATAGGGGAGTTGTGACATCGGCTTCCTTTATGAATGATGCCACATGGCGCGTTCTGATTGGCCAACAGAAAAATTTTATAATCTTTCCTTTTCCATTAGATGTCATTTTTCATTCTTGACGGATTTGATTGTGCATCTTCCTTTCTCGCTAAGATCTTTATATCATTGTCTTTTTTTGAAAGATATTAATTTATATACTTACTTTATTGACAAGATTAATTTATTTTGTTGCCAAATTTATTATAGCTCTATTTATGCACGTAACATTTATACGATATCTTCCATTTTAAGTAAATTTTTGCATTAATAGTTGATATTTAATGTACAAAAATTAACATAAGTGCATAATTAAATAACATATATTTATTTTATTGAAATTTTATTTTCTTCCAAAATACATGATATTTAATTTAATTTAGACATATTTTTAGTGTCTACATATATAAATATATATATGTGTGATATTATATACAAATTTAATAATGTAAATAGTAAAAAATGTGTAAAATGCTTTATATATTTAAATTAAACGTAAATATTATGATAGGGGAAGAAAAATTGTAGGGAAGGGTTACTTGTAGAATGGAGAAGAAGCTTTAATGAATCCATCTGGTTCACTAATTTGTTAGAAGTCATTTTCTTTTAGCCACCATTTGACCTTTCCTTTTCATGCTTCTAGAAACTTTACTGGTAGGTTACTTGTCCTTAAAAAAAATTTAAATTAAAAATAATATTGATATTTTCAAAAATTATTATTATTATTATTATTATCATTATTATTATTATTGTTCCCTTTTGTTAGTTTATGAAAGAATTCGCATTGTGTATTCTATGTTTGATTTAGGTTTTGCAGTTTTGATTGATATTGATGTGTTATGTAATAAATAAATGTATTGATTTCATAGTTTCTAAAATGATTTATATCTAATGAAATTAATAATTGAGAATTATATTGAAGTAGGAATTATTTTTATTTCAGGAAAAATATTGTAAGAAATATTGACAGGTTTCTTCAACATGTTCATTACCATAAATTAAAAACACCGTTTGGCCAAACTTAATACCCTGCAAATTAAGCTCGTATCTCTTACGAGATTGACATTTTTTCTATTTTACCGGTGTAACATTGTGTCAGATTCCCGCGAAATAAATGTTGTATACCATAAAATTGTCTACATAATAGTGCATCCGTCCAGCTCTAAGGTCTTATTTACCTTTAGCGTGTTGATTTTTTAATATTGATTATTATATCAAAATGTAGTACAAATTAAGAAAAAATCGAAAAAATAATTTCATTAGTGTTTTATAATACAAATATAATAATTTTTTACTTTTAAACACAATGACATAAAAAAGTAAATGTGACCCTTAAAAACGGACGGATCGAATAGTATGATAATAACTTTTACATTAAGCAAAATTGGGAAACAAAAACCCAAAAACATGACCACCATGCATTAATTATATTGGAAAAAAAAAGAAATAAGTTGGTGTGGTTAAAGAATTCAAGATGATATGATCATTCATAAAAATTGACACCTTTCAAAAATATAAACGAACTTAAGTAGGATCCACTCAAAATCCTCTCTTTTTTTTTCTTTTTTTTAAAGAAACAAATATTTCTATTTACTTTTAAAACTCATATCTTTTATAAAATCAATTTATGTTAATTATAAATAAATAAACGTAGTTTTTATTTAATTGTATTATCTACAAAATGATATACATATTAAATATATTTTTTATTGCGATATAATTTTTAAAATATTTAAATATATATTCAAATTTTTTTAATCATATATAAATTAAATTTATTTTAAAACTACCAATATTATTAATTATATAAGAAATAATAAAATAATATCATAATTCACTATTATTAATTAATTAAACATCATCGTCTTAAATACAGTATTACTAATAAAATGTGTCAATTGAGGCGAGATGGAGAGAATATGTATTAAAATATTTTAGCTTATTATTATTATTATTTTATTATTATTACTATTTATCATTATTATTATTATTATTATTATTATTATTATTGGGTTGAGATTGATTTCTTGTTGTCTCTCTCTCAATATATATGTATATGATCAGTTCATTGATCCTTCCTCAATTCCTTCAACTAATTAGCCAAGGGAATTATCTCAAAGGTATGTATGTATGGATCCTTGCAGCTATAAGTATATATATATATATATATATATGTATGTATGCTTAATTTCTTAACTTCACCTTCTTCTATGTCTATGTCTATGTCTATGTCTATGTCTATGTCTCCTTCGATGTTCTTCTTCTTCGTCCTGTTGTTGTTAAAATAATTCATCATTCCTTTCATGGCTGCTGCAGGCTTGCCTGCTTTTTAATCTGAAGAATTTTCGATCTGTTTCTATATATATATATATATATACATATACATACACCATTAAGCTAAGTAAGAAAAGCTTCATCGATGTCAATCATGGCGGGTGATGATGAAGATGAAGAAGGCCTATATGATTTCATGGATGGAGAAGATTTCCATGGCAGCACCGATGATTCAAACCTCGACGACTATGATTTGGTGAGTAACAATTTCCAGTTCCAAGTCATCTATATTTAATCGAACAAACTAGTCGTAGTTATTAGAACAATCTTAAATATTATAATCTCATCCCACAAAGCAAACGAAATTAAGTTCATAGTATTGAGTGTACTTGTAATTAAACTTTCAACGCGTTGCAAATGTGTTGGTGATTGTCATTTGATTTTGTTAGCTTATGAAAGTGACGGATACATCGGCTTCGCAAGCAAGGGAAGGGAAAGACATACAAGGCATTCCTTGGGATAAATTAAATATCACGAGAGAAGCCTATCGACGCATGAGGCTTCAACAGTATAAAAATTACGAGGATCTTATGCCTTTGTCCGGCGAAGTCCAACCCGTCGATAATGAGGTAAGTAAGAAATTTAAATCCATTCTCTCCCTCCATATGAATATCCTCTGCAAGAAAATATCATTTTTTGTAATAGTTTTTTTTTTTCCATAATCACTTTTTCTGTTACTAATGACATTAGAGACGGAATTAGAGATAGAATTACGTTAGTTACGTGAACTTTAGGGACAAAATTCTGTTACAAATATATTATTTTTTTGTAGTGATATCAATAAATAAAATAGTGATCAGCAATAGAATCGTACAACCGCGTATATATGTATTTGTACATTCGATTGATCGGTGTAGGGATCCACTCTAGCAAACAACGATGAAGAGTACTTTGATTTCTTCCGAAACTCAAGATCGGTGAAGCCGACAATCCTTCACTTTAAGGTGAGTCCAGTTGTCGAATCATTGAATATTCCTCTATTTACAAACAAACTAAGATTGTGTTCCTTTGTGAATTTTACCAGATGAATTTTACTATTCAGATTCTTCTTTTCCTAAAAAAAAAAGTACCACATCAAACAATTATTTTTTTTTTATATTATACTACAAATTTTTTTTACTATTCAGATTTTCTTTCCATCCAAAAATATCACATCAAACAATTACTTTTTCTTTTTTATATTACACTACAAAAAATATCACATTAACCCGATTTATATTATATCAACCAACTGTTTAAATTCAACTTTTACTATTTAAAAATCCAACACAAAAGCGAAAACCCACAAACAAACACACCCTCATAGTTTCGGCGATGCAGCTAAGAAACCTAGTGTGGGCTACATCGAAGCACGACGTGTATCTTATTTCAAACAACTCGGTTATGCACTGGTCGTCGTCGTTCCAGAGCTTGACCCGAGTCATTAACTTTTCCGAGCACGTTGATGTTGATGTCGCGCCATCGGAGGTAGGTTATATCTACCTACCGTGCATTCTATCGTATGCTCGCCTTAATGTGAAATCCATAATAATGTCGTAAACGTAGAGTCATCCAGGAGTGAGCACAATAGCTGTAAAAGATCGATTCTTGCTGGCCGGAGGCTTCCATGGACAACTTATCTGCAAGGTAACAGTCAGTACATTATTCTTGGTCTTGTCGTAATTACCGGCAAGTAGAGCTATTAAACGAGCCGAACGACCTCGAATACTGATTGTTCGAGCTCAACTCGAACTTGGTAACGGTACAAACTCAACTCGGCTCGTTAAATTTGAACTAAAATAGTGGCTCGAGCTCAACTTGTTAGGCTCAAACAAGCTCGAGCTTGGCTCATAAGGCTCAAACTCGAGCTCGACTTGAATTTTATACATATTCTATATATTTTTTAATATATAAATTAAATATATTTAATTTTATTTATAATTTTTAATAATAAAATATTCAAATTTAAATAATAAATGTAAATTTTGATATAAAAAAATTATATATATTATCTTAATATATAAATAATATAAATATATTATCACTAACTAACTCAATTGAGCTACTCGCGACTCGTTTATAAAAAAAATAACTTTCAAGCTCGGCTCTTTTATCTCTATAAACAAGCCGAGTCGAGCTTGGCTCGCGAACTACTCGGTTCGTTTAACAGCTCTACCGGCAGGGCGAGCCCGATTGATGTGAGTTTTACCTTGAATTGCATTGCTGCAGCGTCTCGACGAAGCGGGGATAAGCTTTTGCACGAGGGCCACACAGCGAGATGAGAATGCCATTACGAATGCCATTGAAATATTCGACAACAGCTCCTCTTCCAGGTTGGTACGTCACTTGGTTAATCTGAATCCTTGCCTCATTGTTCCATTCCTTATGGTTTATTCGGTGACGAATCTGACTGCAGCGGGCTGTGTTTCGTGACCTGCAATAACGACTGCAGTGTAAGAGAGTACGACCTGGAGAGGTTTCAGCTCCTTAACCACTTCGACTTCCCTTGGCCCGTCAATGTTTGTTCTTTCTTTCTCGACTTATATATATATATATGGATAAAATTGCTTATAATTCCTATGTGGTTTCGAAATTTTGCATAAAATTTATCTTTATTTTAAAAATTGCATGGCACTCTCCTATACTTTAAAAAACGTTGCATGAAACTCCACCTTCATGAAACCTCCGTTGTATGATGGGATGATGATTTCCTATCCATATTTTTTGCATGGCAAGGGATTTCGTGCAATATTTTTTAAAGTATAAGGGGACATCATGCATTTTTTTTTAGGTGAAGTGGAGATTTACACTGATGTTTCGAAACCACAGAGAGGTTTTATGCAACGTTTTTAAAATTATAAAGGGGCTCAATGCAATTTTTAAAGTAAATGGAAAATTTATGCTGAATTTTGAAACTACAAAGGAGTTATGAGCAATTTTGTCTATATATATATATGTTATATCTATCTTCTTCACCTAGCCATACAAGACTATACTATGTCAAAATTTCAACAACTGGGCCTAGTCAGGTTGGTCCTAATAGAGTGAACTGTAGCGTTCACATAAACTCGACACAGAATAACTCTTCTGTCTAAAAATATGACTAAGAATCGCACACCTATTATGTGCACTTTGAAGATTAATATATGCGATTGATTTTTAAATACAATATTAGAGAAGCAAAAGAAGCCATCAATATCAACTATTTAATTTTTTTTTTAATTAATAAATTGTTTACATGAAAAAAATTTCATTACTTCTATTCAATACAAAATCGTCTAAATAATAGGCGTGCGATCCTTAGAAAATCATACTAGAAATTCACATAATTTCTTCAACAAGATTGGATAGAATATTGTTAAAGAAATTTTACAAATTTTATTTCTATTCAGTAATAAGAACTCCACGCAATAGGCTCATGATTCTTAATTGTTACTTTTGCTAATAGACGACGATTTCATGCGATACATAAAATAGATGTTTCACACATTTTGAACAAAACACAATATTTTGAACTCCTCGTATATATATATATAGTACATTAAACACATGACGATTTTACACAATAAATAAAATGTAAGTAATTCAGGCAGAATATTTCGCTATCGGCTCACTAGCACAGCATCTTAGCAGATAAAAGTCAGTGTGCAATGAACATAAACATATAGCATGCTCCCTATATTGTGAATCGATTACTTTTTCTATTTGCTTATTGTTTTACTCTCAATGCAGCATGCAATGATGAGCCCTAACCGCAAACTTTTGACTGTTGTGGGAGATGATCCTAATGGGTTGCTCATTGATGCTCGGAATGGGAAGGTACGCTCAAATCTTCCTTGCTATTTATGCGTAATTGAACAAAAATATTTCTAATCACATGTCACATTAATTAGGCATAAGATAAAACTATCAAGTGGTCATGACTTATAAATGGCCTAAGAAATGTAAACATAATCGCACAAAATAAGCATACCTTTGTTGGAGCAGCTACAGTTGTTACGTAAAGCTTGCACGAATTACTTTTGGAAGTCATGTTGAAATATTATTGATTTGCCTCTCGCAACGCTTCCTTCTAAGGTGAATTACACATCTCTCAAACTTTATTCCATGAGATACATATGTGTGAAGACAGTAGCCATATAACATATTTGGTCTCTTCTTACAATGCCATCCATACATGTACCTCATTGAATTAAGCTATTCTGATTTATCCGTGTCTTCAGACAATCGCTTCAGTTTCCGGTCATCTCGACTACTCGTTCACATCTGCGTGGCACCCAGAGGGCATGATGTTTGCCACCGGAAATCAGGACAAAACCTGCAGAGTTTGGGACTTGAGAAACCTGTCAGCATCAATAACAATCTTGAAGGGACACATAGGTGCAATCAGAAAGATATGTTTCTCAGCAGATGGGGAGTTCCTGGTGGCGGCTGAACCTGCGGACTTTGTGCACATATACACTGTTAAAGGAAACTACAAGCAAAAGCAAGAGATAGATTTCTTTGGGGAGATCACCGGGGTATCCCTGAGTCCCAATGACGAGTCCATGTATGTTGGAATATGGGACCGGACGTACGCCAGCTTGCTGCAGTACAACAGAAAGCATGCATACAAATATCTTGATTCTGTAATGTGATACCATACCATGTTACCTAATTTGGTTAGTCGACAAGAAGTGAAAAGAATCCTCTTGTCTGCTCGATATCTTCTTAGACACAAGATAAATTCCATAGGTAGAAAGAAAGCCTTGAATGGTGGGAAATATGTTTCTGTTTTGACCCCCACAAAAAATCAAATAAAAGCTATGGGTGCTTGTGCATGTATGTGTTCAACGATATCAAATCTTTCGATATATTGTGCATGTCATTGTTTTGCATCTGCATGGGGGAAGAAAAGCGAATCAAGATAATAATGAATAAATAAATAAACAAAAAGAAATACCTCAAAGTTTGAAGAGCAGCATGACATATTTTCTTTTCTTAAGTGAATTTTCTACCTTCCAAATCTCTAGACATACCTATGACTGCAGAATAATGGACAAGTATTCAGAGATAATGCATATTTGGGAATCGAAGACATCTAACCAACAAGAATCAAAACTGAATGTCTTAAATTACTAATGGATAACAATGAAATTGACTTTTGGATCCCAAAACACATTGAAACACCCAAGAGAGATCTTGAAGAGTAGCAACTTTCAGGGAGCACGATGAACCACCAAACGAGAAACTGGAATACCATATAACAATGTTCAGTTTCTACCTATTTTTTCAACAAACAGAAAGTTAAGAGAGCAGAGCCTTCAGTGCAACAATTGGAAACAGCAGAAAAAGCCTGCGGAAGAGCCTAATAGTAAAGGTAGCTCAACCTTGTACCAGAATATGGTTTCTCCTTCAAAAACAGCGAACCTAAATAGTGCACATAATCAATAAAGGCTGGTGCACATTTTTGTAAACAAGTATCCAAAACTCAAGTGAAAACATTTTGTTTAAACAAGTATCCAACCATGTACGAAATCACAAACATCACACCCAGACCACAATTATTAGGAATACGAGCCGTATTAAAGAACTAACAAGCCTTTCAATACGACCAAGATGTGGAAATCAAAGCAAAGTACAAAATATGCGGCCCGTATCTGTCCACACAGTCTGCCTTGTTCTATGTAGTCATCAGAAGCCAGTTTAAATTTAGGAGCATAAACTATGGGATCATACAAATCTAGAATGAACCATCCATAATGCTCCAGACTATAAAGGCTTCTATGCACACAATAAATAAGAAGATTTCATGGACATCACGCAACATCTTACTCTTCCTTTTTGTTTTTTCACTTCTTTTTCGATAACACACATGCCGTAACAGGAATTGAAGCTGTGACCTCCAATGAGATAGGTTATGAAAATTTAAACCACTAGAATACACAGAGGAGAACAATTGTGTGTTTGTTTGGAGGATTCTCCAAGATTTTTACCTATCTTTCATTTTTTATATTATACTAAAATTCAATTTTAAATTCAAAACATCACATCAACACCTATTTATATCACGATCATTCCAATTCAAAAATTTTACTATTCAAATCCCAACTCATAATCCAAACCCCCAAACAAACACACTAATCTTATATTTGTTGCAATCTTCAGGCTAGTAACTAATACAAGGTACATTTTGCAGTAAAAAGTAGTCAAATTAGAAAGAAGCAATCCTGATTTATTATTGAAATTAATAGATTACCCCTTATTCAATTTCAAAGTCAGTTATACACACAACATACTATAACCTATGCCCTAAAATTAACGAATTGCATATCAACTCAATCACCAATCATTAGTAACAATTGATTTCGACAATCATCCAAAAATATAAACGGAAATTTATGATTTACCATTCGTTTTTGATCGGTTTCTGAGTATATTCTTCCACAATAGCCCAACCATTGAAGTCGTCAGAGGCAACTTAATTTATACCAAGAAATCGAAGATAACTCACGAATTGAAGCGGATACCGAAGTTAGGGTTCCTTCCTGATTCTAATGGGCAACCGAACCCAAGAACTGGATATGAAACCCCACGGTGCAGTGAGAAAAGAAGGGGGTTTTCGAGAGTGAAAAGATGTTGAAGAAGAGCACATGTTCTCGGGCTTTTTCTTCCTATATAATATAAATTTCCCTTCTTCATCTCTAACACAACTTGTAGAGAATCGCCGGGTCGAAATTGGGAAATTGCATTGACGTTGGGGGAAGAAAATGGAGAATCAAAATCTGAGCAGAGCAGACCTTCGTTTCGTGGGGAGATTGACAGCGACCCTAAACCCTAGCGTTGCGTTTTTTTCTTTTTTCTTTTATATCGTATTAAATAATTATATATTTTTATATTATGCTGCAAAATTATTTTATATTTAAATCACAATTTCAACATATAACATTAAAAATTATTCAAATAAAATGAAACGATTTATGTCAACAACAGAAATTCAAGCTTATGGAACTATTGATTTTGTAGCAGTTTAAAATAACCTAAAAAAAAATTATGAAAATTTAGAATTTGATATTTTATCTTCGAGTTTATTATTTTATTAATATTATTTTATATACAAATAATTTAGAATCACCATGTTAGGATTAATCTAAACCAATCATATCAATAAACATTCTCTCGACAACTTCATTCTACTCGGTAAGTATTCTTTTTCTTTTTTATATATATTTTTTATCTTCTTGAATATGCTATATTTATTCATGTAAATTTTATGTTATTAAAATAAAATTTTGATTGGAAATATTTTGTTAGTTTTGTAAAATGTTAGAAAATGTTCTATGTATATCAATATTATATGTGATATATTTATATTTGTATTTTATTATTTTATGTTTATTTATTTTGATATTGATAATTTTAATATAAAATTTATAATTTTTTTATTTTTAAATAATTTTATGTGTTTGTTCATGAACGTAGCATTAATATTTTATTATTATTATTTTGAATAGATGTCAAGTGTCAATAGCAATATTGATATTTTATTATTTGGGATAAGAATCGCAATTCTGGTATAATAGAATATGATTGTGATCTCAAATATATGATTTTTAATTGATGTAATAGTACACTTGAAGATTTAGAAAGTATTATATTTATGTGACTGGAAAAGATCGACATCAGTATTATATTACTTTGAAAATGCGATATAGTTAGACGCATGGTCAAGGTATTCAGAAATTGACGTTAATTACCATCAATGCGGTTAATCTCGTGCATTTCTTGAATTCAACCAATGATTACAAGTGTTTGTAATTATTTTTTGAATTCCAAGGAAATTTTGTAAATGCAATTGTTGATGCTCCTAATGTGGATTACAACATAATATATGATCCAACAGGTGTTGATTTACTAATATTAGATGTTGATTGTGAGGGAATCGACCAAGATGAATGTAGTGAGCCAGAATCACTGTCAGAATAAGATGATAAAATAGTAGGGGAAAAATGATAATAGAGAACATGGTGGTATTGCAGAATGGCCAAATTTAAGGTCATCGAGATGTCACGAAATACGTACGATACCACTTTCAGAGGGTGAGATTGAATATCTCTCAACTGAATTTTTTTTGAATTTGCCTCGTGAAGAGTTTCTATACGATACATACGATACTCCTAGTTGCATATGGAATGTGTACGCAAAAAATAATGTTATTCTAATTTTTGGGATGACATTCAGTGATAAAAAGTAAATGCAAATGGCTATAAAAGGATTACTCGGTGTGAGTGGCTGGGAGAGGATATACAGTGACAAAGAGCACCCGTACAGTTTTTAGGGTAAAGTGAAAGCATTATGAAAAAAATTGTTGTGGGTGGTATGACCAAAAATTTGTATTTCATAATTATGTTACAAATCTACAGGGAATTTATATTCGAAAATCAGTAAGTGGAAGTTTATAAAGCGATCAGGTATAGTAATTTTTGTGGTTGTAGACCCTGAGTAGTTATCACAATTATTTATACTCTTGTCACAGGTGAAGATCTTGAAAAAGCGACAAAAGATGCAGGAAGAGATCCGCTTGCAGCGGATCCAAAACTTCTAATCTATTGAAAACGGTAATAAAGCGGTAAAAGTGAATGAGCGGAAGCGAGCGAAGCGAGGGCATTGAGTGAAGTGCCAACGGTAACCAGATGATCAGGATATGAGCAGAAGTAGGGACCAGATGAACGGGCCATGGGTGAATAGCGGTTACCGAGTGAACGGGACATGAGCGAGTGGCACATTATATGTATATATATATAAATGAGCGACAGAGAGTGAAGGAGAAGTGTTGTATCTGACTTGTGCGTTACTAAATTGATAGATTTCCCTGGATGTAATGAGCGAGCGATGTAAGTGTGTTATCAAAAATATATGTATATTATGGAGACGGATAGAAGGGGATAATGTAATTATATAAAGTGAAATATAAAGAACTCATAACACTGAAATTTTGACCTTAAGGGATTTACAACAAGACTTCAATGACACCCAGAATCAGAATATTATAAGAAAGAAACTCTACTGTCATTAGGAATCTCTGTGACCTAATCGACCACCGTCTATGCCCTATTAATTATCCCAACTTCTGCCTCATTAGTGGCTTTACCCTTCTGTTACCTTTTTTTTAATCAAAATTGAATTAAGAACAGTAGTTAAGCAGGTCGACAAGGCTCCCGCGTACTTAACTACATTGAACTACATTGAAACCGCTTCTGGCGCATAACAAGCCTCAGATAATCAATTCTTCTAATGCTTTAAACCATTGAAATGAAGTTCTCTAATTTCAAACTTTATATAAGTACGTAAAAAGTCTGGAAGATATGAGGATGAAGAACTAAATGACATTTCATTATTTACTACGAAAGTAGGGAAAGACTAGAACTACAAAGCTGTAAAGGAAAGCAGTAATCTAATCTACGAAAACGGTAAAGACTTGGCCAAGGGAGAAGGGAAATTCCTACTCCTTTGGCCATTCATGTGGAGAACTCCCTTACAGGGTTGGAGCTCTCGAAGACAAGAAGACGACTGGAATGCAGTAATTGCTAGAAGTACTCTAAAATCAAAGTATCGATCTCTCTTTTTTTTAACATAAAGATATTTGGCCCTATTTATAGCAGGTGAAACGGGACGGTTGCAATCAGTTGTTGGGCGGTTCCAACCGCTGGGCAGTTAGGCGGTTACTGGTAGTTATTCTGTTGAAGCAGTTGCTGGCCATAACTCCCAAGGCACTCGCTTTGATTGCATTGAATTTCAAGGGTCTAGATCTTCCTCGCTTGCCGGAGAGCTGGAGGGCATCAGCGCAGCTAGGCTCTCTTGTGCTGGCTGGAGATGAAATGGCTGTACCGCTGCAATTGGAACACTTAGTTGAAATCTGGGGATGATCTGCAGCTGTGGGTGTCTGGGCTGTCGCTTGCAAGCGGGAGAGACTATCGCTTGCGAGCGGTGGAAGCTACCGCTCGCCTCTCATGCCTTAGTCCTTTCCATGAGATAACTTGGGCGCTTGCGAGCGGAGGTGGTTGTCGCTTGTGGCGCCTGCCTTAGCTTTTCTGGCACCAGACTACCGCTTAAAAAGGGTAAAAATTGTTAATAATCTCAACAACGAACTCTGGATCATGCCAAGTAATATAGATCAATAATGTATGCCATTAATGGGTTATTATGATGGTTTTTATACAGAAATTCGAGTAATACACAGTTTTGTCAAGCTAAGAATATGCTCATATTTGGAGTCATCGGATATGACTGCATCATATAAGCCACACTTGAAACGTTGACAACTTATTACGGTGATGCATGATCACACATATATTCCGAATGATGCGTCGTTTGGAGCATAGCAACTTGGATATTAACATGATAGCGGATTCGTTGAAGGGATTTGTTAGTAGAAATCCGGCATACAAGCTAGCGAATGTGAAAAGAGCAGTGAAAATAGAATATGGTTTTGATATATCTTATTCAAAAGCATGGCATGGTTTAAAACGTGCAATTGAGCATGTTCACGGGACATGGGAGAGTTTGGTACAGAAACTTCCAGCTTATATAAAGACACTTCAAAAAAAGTACATACCGAATACAATTATTGAGTGGGCTCATGTAGACACAGCACATCAAGAGAAATACACATTAGGATATGTGTTTTGGGTATTCGAATCTTGTATTGAGACATACTGTCATTGTCGAAATGTTATTAGGGTGGATGAGACTAATTTATATGCAAAATACAAGTATTTTATGTTGATTGTTGCTACTATAGATGCCAACCATCATGTGTTGCCATTAGCCTTTGTCATTGTTGATGCAGAGAGTACTGAATCTTGGATGTGGTTTCTCCAGCTAGTAAGCAGGTAATTTAATTTATTAACTTGTAAATTATATATTTTGAAATTTCTAGTAATGATATTCATTTTATTATTGTGTATGCAAGTATTTGTGCAGGATAGATATCATACATGTCTAATTTCAGATAGACATGTTGAAATCACGAATGCAGTTGATCGTATTCCTGCATTTCACCCACCTCGTGGTCGGCATCGATTTTGCCTATATGTTCTAACTTCAACCAAAAAATTAAAGATGTAAGAATGAAAGATATTTGTTGGAGGGCAGAAGCATCCAATGATTCGTTAGAGTTTAACGAAGCATTAGCAACCCTGCTTTTGAAGCCGACAGCTTATGATTGGCTTATGAAAATTGAGAAGAGTAAATGGACACTTTTCTGTGATGAAGGGTGGCGACATGGTATATTAACAACCAATTTGTCTGAATGCATCAATAGCGTATTGAAAGAGGCTAGGCAACTACCTATTACTGTTTTTTTACAATTGACGTACGATCGAGTTGTTGTTTTTTTCGTTAAACGACTTCAATATGCTCGAGATAAGCAAGACTCTGGTTATGAATGGTTCCCATGGGCACGCACAAAGTATCTTGTCTTAGAACAAAAAAGCTGAAAAAATTGGCAGTGATGGTAAATGAAGATGAATATGAGGCAAAGGTATTGACACTTGATAGTGTTGGCCAAATATCAAAAGAGTATGTTGTTTCGATTAAAAAAGAGTTTTGCCCTTGTGGTCGATGGGCATTAGATGCGGTACCATATTCACATGTGTAAAAGGTGTTTCATATGTTCCATTTGAATTAAAAACGATACATGCGTGACTATTACTCAATTGATTCATGGATAAACACATATATTGTTCAATTTCATGCATATCCTGATGAGTCATTTTGAGAATCAGCTTCATTTCAATTGGTACAAAATCCTACATAATGTAGGATTAAAAGAAGAGGTCGTATCGCACTACACACATTCGAAATGA